TATTAAAAAATGAGAGAGAGAGAGAGAGAGAGAAAGACCGTAGATTTCAAAGATCATCATTTGACCGTATTTGCCAAAAAAAAAAAAAAAAAAAAGCAAAAAAAGTTTAAAAAACTTGAAAAAAGCTATTTGTCCAAATAACAAGTGAGCAGAGAACAATTCAAAAGACTGTGTCAGTCCAATCGTGTTCCGGCTCATCTCATGTCACGCGGAGCGTGACAATAGAGCGAAAAAAGAGAAGCCTATAGTCTTTTTGCACCAATCTAGACTCAGCATCAGCACATTAACCGCACACATTCATTAGCACACGCGTTGTATTTCCAGCGCATAGAAACAACTCCACGGTGCCGGGTAACGACTCCAGTACTTTCACTGGCTATCAAAAGTAAATAGCACTGCAAAAGTGGCAGTGCAACATCAAGCACATTGACTCACAAACAGAATAAACAGAGCAGTGACTGCAATGGCAGCACAGTGGTGCCCCCATGGCAGCACAGCATGAAGAGTAGTGAATCCGTCAAGGATAGCCTATCCTTCAAGAAGCACCCTCTGGTGCACTATGAAGCTCATAGACTATGATGAAAGCTGCAGCGTCCTACCGCTCCCATCCAGGTGATATGCCCGACTACCATCTTCCCCCGAACGTAACGCACCCTAAAAATGAATGTATACAAGCTATACTTCCGGCCAGATACAGCCAAAATGAGGGTGCGTTGTGTTCGGGGGAAGACCGTAGTTCCTGCTTCCCCCAGTCCAGCTTCTTCAGGGGCAGAACGAAAGTTGTAGTTCCCCGCTATTCTATCGTATAAATACTTCAGGTTTACATCAATACTTCCGGTAGTAATACGAAAATTCAAAAAAACTCAAAATAGTTCCTGTTCCCCGCACTTTTTCTTCGGCCCTACTCTGAAGAGTCTGAACACATTCGAAAGGAATTACTACACCCTGCACTTTTTCCTTCCTTGTACTTCTGGACTCGTGGCGCCCATTTCTCTTGGAAAGCTGAAACGTTATTCTTTTTTTTTTTTTTTTACAAGAAAACTCAGCTCATTTCATTATCACAAAAGGGAGACGGGGAAAACCTCCACAAACAACCCGGAGCAAAAATCTGGGACCATTGCCCAGCTTAGGTGCAGGCGATGGGGTGTGTCCAGGCAAACAGAAGTGGCCAAAACTGGGCCGCTGTCCTGACAATCCGCATCCCTGGTTGAAACGTTATTCCTCGTTCACTTCATCAGGTCCCTTAATTTTGGTGATGCTCTTTTGCCGCGTTGTTCCATGTCATTCGTAGTCGTCCCATCCGCACAGACCCTGGTCCCGGATGATACCCCCTCCCCCCTCCCACAGACTTCCCAGATCCTTTTCCCCTCCCAGACCACACATTGATGGAACTAGGCTGGTATGGTAGGGAGTAGGCAGCGAGAAGGGGAGGGAAGGGGCTCCCATCTCCGGTCGGCCCCTGGAGTAAGGACCCCCCCGCCTCACCACTCCCACTGCCTTTTGCTGCCCCTATCATTTCTATATCTTAAAATACTTTTTCATGCGTTGCAGTAGGGCTGATGAGGCCGCTTTTCTCTCGAGGCCCCTGCATGCCTCCTCAACAAACTCACCTCCAGCGCAGTTAATGGCCGGCCATATGCCGGCTGTGGCTTAAACCACAAGTACCTTTCCCATATACCGGCTGCGATCCCCTCACCGCGGCTTTCGGAGGCCCCGAAACGCATCACGGGCCGCTGATGGAATTTATCAACAGCGGCCTGACCCCAAAAGTTGCCTGCGTTTACCGGTCCATGCTTTAGGTGGGAACTGCGTGCTCCTGGGGAAAGTGGGGTAGAGGGTTGGTCCTATATTGGGGCCGAGGGAGAGTGGAAGACTCGCCTCGGAGGAGGCAGTGTAGGGCTGAGGGGGGAGGCGTAGGGTGAGGGAGGGGCGATCTCTCTCGAAGAATTCTGACATCCAGTTTAGTAATTCTTTCCATTGGGTTCACCTCTCGAGAAGGTTGTAGGAATAGGTGATATCTGGCAAGTCATCTTTGATCCTGCGTAGGGTGGTTGAAAATTCGGTGGCCCTCAAAGACCAACGCTGGAGCAACGCTGGCCGGAGCCGGTGCCAGGTGGCGCAACTTTGTGACCTAGCTTAGTGGGGGCGTGAGGCCTGGTAGAGAGATCTGGGGGGCTGTTTGCGGGGGCAGTCTCAGTGGTTATCGGGGATCGTAACTGAAGCAATGCTGGCCGGTGCCGGTGCTGGAGCAAGGTGGTGCAACTCTGTAACCTAGCCTGATGGGAGCATGAGGCTTGGAAGAGCTTTCGGTTCGTGCTGAAAACAGCCAATGGCATGCTGGTGGTGGTCGAAGGTGGATCATTGATTAGGTTAACCTCCCACATTGTTTTTGGGATGTACTCCAATTTCAGTCTGTATATGGGACGCTGGACCCGTTTCCCAGCAGGTGATGCTCCCCGCCAATAGATGGAGCCCCTTCCCGGGTGCAAGTGGTGTCTGCTCTTATCAGCACCACTAACACTGGCGGGGGTTAAAAAAAAAAAAGGTTTCACCTATCTGATTCGTGGTTGGGAGGCTTGTTGACACACATTTTCTGATGTTTCTGAGTTTTCCTTTTTCTTTAATTGTTCTTAGCTGAAACTGGGTACTGGCCCCGGTAGTACATTTTTGTATTCTGATAAGAGACGCTGGGCCCAGTTCCCAGCCGTGTTGCTCCCCACTAATAGATTGGAGCATCGT